TTGACGCAAGCAGCAAAAGTGCATTCTGTTTCAGCATTGGTTCCTTTCGCTATGTATCCTAACAACCACCAGGACCTTCAAAGCGTGCAAAGTTACCTTTTGAGATGCCAGAACGTGGTCACTTAGTCCTGGAAAGAGGTCTCCTTGCACGTCCTGGAACAAACAACCAGCTGCCCAAAGCACCTTAAGTTAAACCAGCTATATAACAAACCTGACATGGTAGAAAACGGCCCAATGCGGTTTCCTTCTTCCGCGTCGTTGAAGGCCGTCATTGTCCCTTGATGTCCCCCTTGCAGGAAAGTGGCATAAGTCTGATCCAAGACGAAGAAGATATCTGGCAACCTGACCAGGCAGCTTCGTGTCGCACATGCGTGCCCACCTCCCTGGCAAGTTCAGTCCGGCCAGCTTCAAGGACAACAACAGTCCTAGAATGATCTTTTTTAGCTTGCGTAAGATGTGAGGTTGGGTCATGTCCCAAACGTCCTTGGACGTTCCTTTGCGCCGTCCTGGACGTCAGTCCCATGGCCTCGTCAGCACTTGATTCCCCCCTCAAACTCGATGTTTTTGTCGGTCAAGCCCTGAGAAGATGGGATGCCTAGGGTGCGGCCCTAGAAGTTGGGATGCCTAGAATGGAACACTTGAACCAATGGATCCAGGTTGAAATGCTGGTGCACAATCTGTTCAGATGTTACAGTAATCATTCCGCAAAAGAAAGCAACTTTGTGATTACTAGCGTGGGGAAGTGCTGCTTCCATGTGACCTTACCAAAGTTTACAAGACTCGTGAAGTAAACAAAATCACCACTGGTGAATGAAGCAATGATTTCTACTCACTTCTTTAGTTACTCCATGACCATTCCATATTTCACCTATCTTTGCCGTTTTACCTATGCAATTTGCAAACCAACAATCAGCCCGCACCACCAGCAGTTATTGATCCCCGTCGGCTGCCTTGAGGTACGGTTCAAGGAAGCGTATTGGACTTCCACACCGATGAAGACGGCGTTTGAAAAAAATGCAAACGGCAAAGAACGTCTCCTTAGGTGTCCAACACTCAAAACATTTGGGACGACCAAATTGACCCTGCAAGTACATGTTTCAAGTACGTATCTTTATACAGGGTCCTGTCAAGCAGGATCCAGCCGAGGCGGAATCCAATTCCAACAAGCCTCCTTGCGGGCACAGTATAGCTTGCCCGCTTCTGCATGGGTCCGCAATGGGGTCTGCTACTCAATCTGTAGTGCACATAGTAGAACAGGGAAAACGGATCTGCTGGAGGAAGTCGGTTTTGCTGGTTTTGGGATCAGAACATTGCACTTCAATGCATGTCTCTCAAAAGGGACTTTAAACGGAATCAGCAGGCTGAACCTGTCCAAGATCAAATTGGAGGTCAGCTTCCTGGCTTGTGTTGGGTCATTCTGATCACCCCTCATGAGTTTCAATGTGGTTGATGACTTTGGGAACGACAACATCCGCCTGGGAAGTGGAGATGATTGAACTATGCGGAATCATGGAATACATCACCACTTCATTGGTCTATTTTTTGACGAAAACATAAACTGTGGATAAACACACCGCTATCCTTAACCCACTACAGAAATTAACCTGACAAGCACCAACTCTATCATCATGACTCATGACACATGAGCTTGCATCAAGTATAAGGCCTATCAGGGGCGGCAGGGTGGTGCTTGGAGCGAAAGTACATCCAGTCCGGCAGGTTTACCTCCGACATGCCTGGCCACAACTGATCATGAACATGAGAGGAAACCTAACACCAGGTGAGTTGAAATGTTCACTCGTAAGAGGGAAGCCTCAGTGAAGGCTGAGAAGGAGAAGAACATCAAGGCCGACTGGGCGACCAAAAAATCTCCAACCACAGAAATGACATGAAGAAGCTTCAGAGTGCTTTAAGATGCTTTAACCTCACCAGAAATTACTTACAGTGATCACACAATCAACCCTCATGTGCCTGTGGGTCTTTTCAGTTTCTCGTTCCACTCAAGGAGCTATCGCTAGAGGAAAAACACATATTCACTATATAATTATGCTTGAAAGGAACAAAGGTCCATAATATAGTTTGCTCTTAGGTTGGAGGCCATCGCTTTTAGTAGAGTTTCAGCCTTGGCCGCACTTGTTGGTCCCCTCAGTAAAGACATTAACTCTCGAGGTTCTACCATGATCTACCTCAGAAAATGGGTACACGCAACAGGTCCTAAAAGGCTGTCTTTATGTGTCGTTTAATAGCCTTGGAGGTGAAGAGGTGTCCATTGGTTTCACCACTATGGAAAGGGTGGTAAAAAAGACACCTGGACGATGTATACAACAACCCTCACCCGTGATGCACACATCTCTCTCGCGGACTTGATGTCCAACAGGTGAGGATGTTGCGACCGAAACGTCGCCGTCTCCCAAGAAACGTCCACCCTCGACCTGACCCCGGAGGTGTCCGTCCCAACGAAGCCCTTCCCGTCCACGCCTGGAACGGTCGACCGAACGGGTCCAGAACGGTCGACCGGAACGCGTCGACCGAACGGGTCGAGATCGAGGCTCGAAAGACCAGGAAGCCACCACACGGCGATTCGCTTCCAAACAGGTCTCCTGGCGAGGTGGCACCAGCTGTGTCTTGTCTTACACTGCTACCTGGACCCTTCAGTTCGTACCTTAGGAACTGGGACATGACAGGTACGTGTACCTTGGTCTTCCTAAGCCTTCACTATCCTAGGCCT